ATTGTCCGTTTTGTCGTTTTGTTTCTGGAAACAAAAACTGAAAATACGAGTGGTTTTCCGTTTTTTTTTGTTTTGGTTTCATATTGAAAAACGGATGAACGAATGAAACACGGATTATCGTGCCTCTTAAGCCAGAAAATAGCGACTCAAACGGAAGACTCCCAAAACCCCTGATATACTGTTAAGGAGGCACTAACGGTAAACGGGAGACGCCCAATACCGCTGATACACTGTAATGCAATGCACTAACGGTAAACGGGGAGACGCACTTCGGCTCCGACTTAAGATTTTGTTTACTGATCAGATGAAAATCTTTTTTGTGGTTTACCTGCTGTTTAAGCTGGATGAAAAATTTAACAGTCACCACAGAATCAGAATTCTAAAACTTATCAGAAACAAGTGGATAATTATTGAGTATGCTTTCATCTGAATACAGGCAAGACAAAATTTATATTTTACTAAAATTTTAAAGCCATGCAACAGTTCTAACACATAAAATAAGCACTTTAACTTGGAAGATGAACTGTATTTATTAAAATTACCACACTCGTTCTACATACTACGTTAAATATTCCTTAAGATAATCGTAATTTTGTTTATTAAGCATTATTAAGCAAACGTTGGTTTTGTTTTTAAACGATACATACCATCAGAGTTGAGAAACTTTAACAAGATTAATATAATTGTGAGACTTTTGATTTTCATTTTCATCCTTTAGGTGCTGATTACTTATTTTCTTACGCAAAGAACTGTTTTTATCACCCCCACACCTCGTTTAATACAGCTCAGTCTTTATACAAAATGTCGTCCTCCTGAATTCACTTTCAGTTTACATTTGGTAGGCTTAAACTCTGGGCACATGCGCAGTCTAACTCTGTCAAAGACACACGCAGGCGCACATGTACATTATGCATGACCCGGATCCGGAAGCTACGGATCGAGTAGGGTGTACGGATCGTGTAGTGCACTGTGACTTTCCTTTACATGTATAGTTTTGTACTTTTGACAGAACATTGTTTTTACCATTTATGTTGCTATTGTTAGACATTTTTAACGTGTGTGTGTGTGTGTGTGTGTAAAACATACTGCAATATGTAATCTTTTAAACAGCAGTAATCAATTGTGTCTATTATTATTACATGTATAATTTGCAGGGTTTGTTTGAGAAAATAAAAAGGTGTCTTGGTCCTTAGGCAAAACTTCGACTGTCCGTAGTGTTTCTTAAATTTTTGCTCTTATGCGATTTAGTCTTTCTGTCATGTGTGTACCTAAATGATGAAAATAATCGCATCTCGAGTAATGTACACTCACCTAAAGGATTATTAGAAACACCTGTTCAATTTCGCATTAATGCAATTATCTAATCACATGGCAGTTGCTTCAATGCATTTAGGGGTGTGGTCCTGGTCAAGACAATCTCCTGAACTNCTCCCACCATCATATGCACTGTTTATCGGCCACCTAAGCCAAACAAGGACTTTTTAAATGACTTTACTGCTCTACTCACTCACTTCTCTGTACTCACTCCAAATATGATAATTGTTGGTGATTTTAATATACACATGGACAATGACAACAACCTTCTTTCCAGAGATTTTACTTCCTGTCTGGATAGTTTTGGAGTACAACAACACATCAAATTTTCTACACATTCTAAAGGTCATATCTTGGACTTGGTCTGTTGTTCTGGTGTCACCCCCACAAATTGCAAAGCTAATACTTTTCCTCAATCTGATCACATGTTTATTTCTTTTACTGCTAATGTGTCTGCTTCTAAAACCTGTATTCCTCGTGACATTGCATTTAGGAAAATTAGTAATATTAATCCGGATAGTTTCTCATCTGCTATAGATGAACTCTCACCCATCCACAGCTCCTCGACCCCTGAAGAACTTGTTTCACACTATAACGACAACCTCCATAATCTTCTTAATACATTTGCTCCCCTCAAACACCGTTCTGTCTCTTTCTCTCAAACAGCACCATGGTTTAGTCCCAATCTGCGCCTTCTCAAAGCCAAAGGACGGCAGCTGGAACGTCTGTATAAGAAAACCGGTCTTACCATACACAAAGAAATGTACAGTGATCATATTTTGCTTTATAAGAACAGCATAGTTTCAGCCAAATCCACATACTATTCCGGTTTAATCAGTTCTAGAGAAGGGAACTCCAGATCTCTCTTTTCTCTCTTTCAAAAAATTACAAAACCCCCTGATCCATTCCCCCCTCATATGTACTCAACTGATTTTTGCAACAATATCATGTCCTTTTTTACTCTTAAAATCTTTGATATCCACCAACAACTTAACTCTATAGGAGCTTCTAATTCTGTAGCTAACTCCCCACTCACTTCACTGTCTAGCTGTCAGCTATTTTCAAGATTCACCATTCCCTCTGTAACTGATGTATCAAATCTCATTCAAAAATCTAAACCATCCACCTGTCAGCTTGACCCCCTCCCTACAGTGTTAGTTAAAGCCTGTTTGCCCTCGTTGGCTCCTCTTATAACCAGTATTATTCACTCTTCCCTTAACACTGGAATTGTTCCTTCATCCTTGAAAACTGCTGCTGTTACCCCAATACTCAAAAAGCCTGGTGCAGACCCCAATAACTTTGACAATCTCCGCCCTATATCGAACCTCCCTTTCATTTCAAAAATCCTAGAGAAAATTGTTGCCTCCCAGCTCCAATCTCACCTCAATGAATACAATCTGTATGAAAAATTTCAATCTGGCTTCCGCCCCGGTCATAGTACTGAAACTGCTTTGATAAAGGTCACTAACGATCTTCTGATGGCAGCTGACTCTGGCCTTCTCATCATTCTCATTCTTCTGGATCTCAGTTCTGCATTTGATACTATTTCTCATGATATCCTCTTAAACAGACTAACATTCATTGGCATTAGTCATATTCCTCTCACTTGGTTCACCTCATATTTCTCAGACCGCACTCAATTTGTTCAATTTAAATCTCACTCCTCAAGATTGTTTCCTGTTTCTGCAGGTGTACCCCAGGGTTCAGTATTGGGGCCTCTTTTATTCCTCATATACATGCTCCCTCTTGGCCATTTATTCAGGAAATATAACATTGATTTTCATTTTTATGCAGATGACACCCAGCTCTACATCTCTTCGAAACCTAATTCATCGCTTCCCCCCATTTCCCTCTCTAACTGCCTTATGGAGATTAGATTATGGTTCTCCTCCAATTTTCTAAAACTTAACAGTAATAAGACTGAAGTTTTGCTCATTGGTACACCTTCTACTTTAACAAAATCCCATAGTTTTCCTATTGACATAGATAACTCCCTTATCCATCCTTCCCACCAGGTAAAGAGTCTGGGTGTCATACTGGACAGTACACTCTCTTTTCAGTCCCACATTAATTACATCACCCGTTCTGCATACTTTCACCTACGTAACATTAACCGACTCCGTCCCTTCCTTACTTCCCATGCTGCTGCAATCCTTGTGCATAGTCTCATCACTTCCCGCATTGATTATTGTAACTCCCTCCTATTTGGCCTTTCCAACAAATCTCTTCATAAACTTCAAATTTTACAGAACTCTGCGGCTCGGGTCATAACTCAGACTCCGTTAAGAGATCATATCACACCAGTTCTCCAACAACTGCACTGGTTGCCCATAGATGCTAGGATAAACTTTAAAATCCTACTCTTTGCTTTTAAGTGCATCCATAACCTCGCCCCTCCCTATCTGTGTGATCTATTACATATTGCCACTCCTTCCCGTTCTCTCAGGTCATCGTCTGCCATTCGTCTCGTTGTTCCCTCTGCCCGTCTTACTACTATGGGGCAAAGAGCTTTCAGTCGCTCTGCCCCTCGCCTCTGGAATTCACTTCCCCCAGCACTAAGGAACACTGATTCCCTTTCCTCATTTCAGTCACAGCTCAAAACACATATGTTCAAAATGGTCTACTTACTTTAATTACAGTATTTACTTGCAGTCAATTATGTCTATAGCTTTTCCTTTTTTATCTTATTGTAATTTATTGTAATTTATTGTA